TAAAACTACTGAAACACTGCAAACAACTAAAACTACTGAAACACTGCAAACAACTAAAACTACTGAAACACTGCAAACAACTAAAACTACTGAAACACTGCAAACAACTGTATGATTCCTTAGTTATGCTTTGAAATCAGAAGTAAAAGAATCCAATATAACATGATAATTCCTATAAAGAAGTTCAAATAGATGCGTTTATAGATATAGGACCTTTTTATTAAATAGAGGACAATACATTTGTATTAAAGATCTTCTGTCAGGAATAATATATTTAAATGCTGATTTTATTACCAATTTGAACATATTTACAATCTATGCACAGCAACTCAATTTCATTTGAACCTGAGTTGGGGGATTTTAGACATACATATGTACATACAAAAACAAGACTTACTTGTCTGGTTTGAGATCTCTGTGGACAATGCCATAACTATGGAGATATTCCAAAGCTAACACCGTTTCTACAAAATACATTCTGTCGAAAACACGACAATCAGATTATTACTTATGGGACAAGAGCACTATAATCATAAAACATAAAATAAAGATTAAATGTAATGTAGCATGCTCTGTTTCAAATGCTAAGTCTCTCTTACGTTGTTTTCTCTCTATATATATCATCTATGACACATATATGAATGAAACCATTTGCACATCACACAGGTCATTGCCTTTGAATTCTAGCAACAGCTGTGCTGATTTTTATTTCTGATCAATAGTATTGTCTTGTCAATAATTTTAACACAGTAAATATATATATGCTTCTTATTTTTTTAACAAGAAATGTAAGATGCCAACCTTGCTAGGTCAAAAGGGAGTGGTCCCCATTTCTTCAGTAGGGCGGCACAGTCACCGCCCTCCACATATTCCATCACCATACACAGATGTTTCTGTAACAAAAGTACAATTAATGCAATTAAACTAAAAAATTATCCAACACCAACGGTCAAATATCTAGAATTTTAGTTTCATTTTTTAAATAAACTGAACAAAAGATCAATGGAAGAGAAGAGAAAGAGAACCGAATTCATGGAAATGAGGCGTTCTATTACAGGTTATCTCCCTCTATTTCTACATGTAGAAGTATACACACCTGGGTGACAAAGGTATCCGTGGATATTCCGAAAAGAACCAAATTCAGTTTTCCGACTTACCTTGGTGTCAAAGCTGCAGTACATGCTAACAACAAATGGGTTTTCTGTGAAGCTGAGGATGTCTCGCTCCGTGTAAACCTGCTCTGTCTGATTCCTCAGAATAAGATTCTGTTTACAGATCCTCTTCATCGCAAATCGCTGGCGGCTTTCTTTGTGGCGCACCAAGTACACCGCTCTATTGGGGTAAAGACATACCAATTCTCATATACATCCTGGGCTAACGTCCTGTCTCAGTGGTAAGTGTTTAAGGCATTTCCAGAAAATCATTCATATATGACTATTTGTTGACTTACAATAAAAACAAACTTGCACATTTTTCTTGATATATTAGATTGTTAAATTTGCAATTGAGCAAAATTATATTCCAATGCAAAAATGAAGGATATTATTTGGTCAGATTCTGTTAAAACCTTTGTCTAATAACCATGGCCCAGTGGATCTCTTCATATATAATCAGGTCAGTTTAAAATACATCAAAACCTTTTTCTTTCAGAAAGAGTTTGAGACTGACTGACCTTTTTTTCTGAAATAACGTCTCTAGTTTCACAATCACCGAAGAACAGAATGGAAAGAAAATATAAAAAAAATATTCAAAGATGTTTACTTACGCATAAGCACCGTTGCTAATCAACTTGATTGTCTCAAAATCCTCCTCTCGAGGTGTCTTGAACTTTGGCACATAATCTCTCCTCTGGAAAAAGAGATGAAAACATGGTGAAATTTTTCTTTACTTTTCTTCCCTAGAATACAACAACAAAACCCTTTTATTGACCATGTACATTGTATGTATTGTCGTGCAGATTCTCTATTATAATCAACAAATGACTTTATTTTCTGTTTCTCTGATTTTTTAACAAACAACAAACCTCCATGAGTTCTTCATCAGCCTCCGTAAAATCATCCTGCTCATCCATCCCCATACCAATATCTGTGGAAGTGACATGATATTGTAAATGACATGGTATTGCAAATGACACAGTATTAAAAGAAGTATGGTATTGGAAATTACATGGTATTAGAAATTATATGGAAATCAACTGACATCCATAATTATTTCCTCATTTCTACCTGATTTAACTCCATAATGCATACTTGACCCAACACCCTCACCAGCATACTCAGATCAGAGCCTTGACACAATACCCTCACCAGCATACTCAGATCAGAGCCTTGACCCAACACCCTATCTAGCAAACTCAAATCAGAGCCTTGACACAACACCCTCACCAGCATACTTAGACCAGAGCCTTGACCCAACACCCTCACCAGCATATTCAGATCAGAGCCTTGACCCAACACCCTCACCAGCATACTCAGATCAGAGACTTGACCCAACACCCTATCTAGCAAACTCAAATCAGAGCCTTGACACAACACCCTCACCAGCATACTCAGATCAGAGCCTTGACCCAACACCCTCACCAGCATACTCAGATCAGACACCCTCACCAGCATACTCAGATCGGAACTTGTATGTGCTCAAACTTACAAGGATAAGAATATTTTTTGAAGGGTTCTCTGTTAAGCTCAAACTTTTGAGGATATACTGAGGTAAGATTTACGTTCAAGGGAGTCTTTATTGAGCCACAGCAATTTAACGATATGCTGAGCAATGTTTTACCTTCCAGGGGGTCCCTGTTTAGCCCAATTTAATGATATGCTGAGCAATGTTTTACCTTCCAGGCGGTCCCTGTTTAGCCCAATTTAACGATATGCTGAGCAATGTTTTACCTTCCAGGGGGTCCCTGTTTAGCCCCAACTTGTTGATAATATACTGAGGTATATCAGCTTTGATGGTCTGCTTGGCTTGGCCTTCTGCTGCCTCCAACAACTGGTAAAACTGTTCAGGATCAAACTCCTGCAAAAACACAGAACAAATGTCAAGTCTAAGTCCTGTGACAAAGCAAGGTAGTAAGATATTTATAATACATTTGAAGCAACGAACCCAACCATGATCTCAACATTAAGATAATGATATATTTAAACCTAAATTACACTGGTCTTAGGACCAAAGGGTCGCCCCCAATTGAGCTAAATGCCAGATCTAAGCATTAACCAAAGATAATAAGCTTAGCATAAAGTCTAATGGCAGAAATGGAGCCAATTGCAAAGAATTTACCAAAGTCAATGAAGCAGAAAATATAGGTCACAGTGACCTACATTTGATATAATGGTGTAGTACTCCTAAAGATGAACTAATAATGCAGCTAAACAAAGTCTAATCAGGCCGTGTACAGACATATGTACAGGCAAAAAATGACTCTTCTACTATATGCTGTTGGGACATAAATAGAAATCTACTTGAGTTAAGATTAAGCTTCCTCTATACATGCGATATGCTGTACTTACCAGACATTCGAGTAGACGGATTGGACGAGACAGTATCAGTAGTAACTTCTTCACCAGTGGGTAGATGTAGTTGTACGCCACAAACTCACGTTCCTCTGCCTGTACAACACAATATAATCCATTATTATACCACCAGACACAATCCTGTAATCTGACTGGTCAAAACAAATTCTCCAATTCTAAACATAGCATTAACATTTAACTCGGTGGAACATCCATTAACATTGTCTTTGTAATTACTGACATTTAACAGTATGTGTAATCAAGGACTGTAAGCAAGAAAGTGTTCTATTCATTTCACCTGCCATCTTTGTTTATTACGCATCAAATGTTGTCAGTGGTTTGCACAGAAATATCATGATAAGATAAAAAAAATATGTGTTACTTATTTTTCAAATTCTGTGGCAATGACATTTAGTTATCAAATATTAGATTCCCTACAGGGAAACACTGTTAAGAGTCACCCCTCAGGATATCACTGTTGACCTTGACTCAGCCCCAGCTAACAGCAACACCCTTGACAAGCCCTTATGCACTGTCACTCTCTAACAAATACAATATCTACATATTATATTCAGGTTATATTGAGACAATTTTTTTCATTAAAACTAACAGCATGAATACATATAAATATATCTAACAAGAGGCCCAGAGGGCCTGTATCGCTCACCTGGATATCTAAGCAATAATGGCAAAATATTTTCCTTATAAGATCCAAGGGAATGGGCCAAACCCTAAGGCCAAACCTTGTAGCATATCTGTATTAGGTTGTTCATGCCAAGCAAGTTTATGTATGGTTATGGGGTAGGGATCTCAACTGTTTCCAAGCTGTGACTAAGAAACTAGGTCCCTAGGGTTGTGGCCAGAACTCAGGGTCAATTCTGATATCATGACAGTATTTATCTCTTTATGCCCAGCATTTGTAGATATAGTTTTGGGGTGAGCCCCACTATTTGTACAAATTTGAATCCCCAGCTCCAATGAATGCTACCGATCAAATATGATTTATATCAAGTGCATAGTTCTACAGAAGAAGTCGTTTAAAGCAATAAAGCCAAATTGCCCCCGCCCCTCAACCCCCTTCGGGGTTGTCTCACCATTTGTATATTTTTGAATCCCCACTACTTAGGGATGCTTCCAGTCAAATATGCTTGATATTCATCTTTTGGTTCCGGATCCAGAGAATAAGTCGCTTAAAGCAATGTAGCAAAATTGCCCTTTTTGGCCCCGCCCGTCAGCCCCTGTTGGTCAGCCCTACCATTTGCATGCACAATTTTGAATCCCTAGCTCCCATGAATGCTTCCAACCAAATATGATCAATATCCAGTGCAAAGTTCTACAGAAGAAGTTTTTCATATCAATATAGCCAAATTGCCCCCTTTTGGCCCCACCAATCATCCCAACCATTTGTACAATTTTGAATCCCCACTACCTAGTGATGCTTCCAGTTAAATTTAGTCAAATTCCAATCAGTGGTTAAGAAGAAGTCGTCTGAAGAAATTGTTGATAAACAGACGGACGACGGACGCCACGGTTCGGACACTTCGGACCAGGCGAGCTAAAAAGGTCAAAGATGCTTATATTATACAGAAGTGCATTTAAATTATGATTTTAAAGAAAATAACTCACATCCTCGATCAGTTTCTCGAGCTTGTCTGAGAGATCAAAAAAATATGAGCGTGTGATGAGCTTGTTTTGAGACTGGGCGAGACAATCCCGAGCTAGTTCCAGGACTTGGTGGTGTAGGAAGCGTGTGATCGCATCACCCTCCTGTTCCGGCGGTAACACCCGGTTCTGTTCTATATAGTTACTAAGTTTCTCCTCCATTTGAACTGTAGCCTGTCGGAATAAAGTTATCTCATTTTAATTAAGTGTCGAAGCAAGTTAGAATTATCTCCCCCTGACACAATGTTATCATGATATTAACAGACTTTTGCATTTTTGGATTTCATGTCAGGAGGTGCACCCATCAACACTGCCTTGACTGTGTCTGAAGAATCATTTTCTTCCACATATTTGTCATAACTTAGGTAAACCACAAATACAAGTTATTTTTATTTTTGTCTCGACAAGAAAATCATAGATGCTATTTTGTGTATAAGGGTATGTAGGCTTAATAAAGAATTTTTACCTTTGGGAACCTTTCCTTGTAGACACTGTTCATCATGACGATTTCATCTCCACCGGGAGAGCGACCAGGACTACTACAAAACACAAACAACTGTCATTAACGTCTGTGCACACTGACCGACTGATGACATAGAGGCACAGTATGCCTGTATCACACTCCCATGGCCAACTAACATCACTTGACCCTAGACATATGTGGCCTTGTAGACCTTTAGTATACACTATCTATCGCGTCTAACCTGGTCTGAAAATCTCAGAAGATACATGAACTATATATAAGGCTACCTACAACTGATCTCACATAAATCAAGTTGCTAGAGGCCTTCTACTCTGTTGTCTTAACTCATTCACCCCTATAGACACATTTGAACACTTCCAAATCATAGGTTGGAATAGTTCATTATGAAATCTAAGGGGTGAATGATTTAATTATAAAAAAATTATGATAATTATAAAAAAACATTGACCACAGAACTCACTGTTATCACACACCTCTGTACATTGGTCGTATGATAAATCTGTCAAAGCTATCAGGAATCAAAAGGAAGATCTAGGGAAGCCTCTGTTTACCCCAGATTTACTTTTATAATCACAGTTAGATCACACCCTTATTGAAATCATCAACTTAGCAGAAAATGCAACAAACAAATGTGTCGGAAAAGGTCATGCACTAAAGTTTGCTTGATGACAATAATCATCTTATGAAAAAACAAACATTTAAATAAATTGTAAAAAGGGTTTATAATCACAACAAAAACCTAAGCCATCAATATATGGTACTAGACTAGACTACACACTGGGATACCAGATTCAGGTTAACTGTACTAATGGCCTTAGTTCTAAATCCAATAACATGGGTTTCAATCAAATTACATTCTTAATCTTCACAATGACTATAAACAGTAATACATGTAATAAATCTATCACAACTTCCCTTAATAGATGTAACTAAATCTATTATGTGAATCATTATTGAAGTACTATATCTTATATTGTAAATTAATGTGATGTTCCAGCAGGTTTTGAGGACAATGACCAAATCATGAATTTCATTCTTTGTTTTGATTATTCCATATTCATTGCAGTCTTAATATGATGTTCTAAATCCATTATCACAGACTTTTATATAATGTACAATACATTACAAGGTCATCATAAAATACTACTGGGATGATGATGTACATTGACAGACTACTGATATATGAGGAATGACAAACAGCTAAACACAACAAACTAACTACAAAGCCAACAGCATCTGATCTAAAGGTACAAAATATAGAAACGAGTAAAAGAGATACATGTGTAAGAATAAAACCAATCTTACTCTAATGCTAGCCAGGATAAACTGCTCACCAAAGCAAGGACAGCAGGTAAAAACAAAATCAGCATGAATTAGTGTTTAGTAGTAACTCTCACACACCTGGGCCAAACTTTACCTGTTCTTAATTAACACAAGTATAAACAATTCTCAGTTTTCAAAATATTCAACACTTTTTTCCTCTCTGTATCTCTCTCTCTCTAGCTAACAATACTTTGAATCTATTTGCCTGGCTATCATTAACATTAGATGACATGAAAATGATCTTCACCAACGCTGTATCTCTAAATATTGGTGCAAAAAAAACCCAGAATATTCTCACTGCTATGCCAAATTCTCTTGTTTGGCACTGTTGATTTTCGAACTCAACACTGCTGTTCTGAATTCTCTTGTTTGGCATTGATCATTCAATCAGATTTCTCTGAACAGTTATAACTATCCTATTTTCTATCTAAACATGTTACAGACTGTTTTGATATCCTGTTTCTATCTAAACATATGTTACAGACAGTTTTGATATCCTGTTTCTATCTAAACATGTTGCAGACAGTTTTGATATCCTATTTCCAATCTAAACATGTTACAGACAGTTTTGATATCCTGTTTCTATCTAAACATGTTACAGACAGTTTTGATATCCTGTTTCTATCTAAACATGTTACTGACAGTTTTGATATCCTGTTTCTATCTAAACATGTTACAGACAGTCTTGATATCCTATTTCCAATCTAAACATGTTACAGACAGTTTTGATATCCTGCTTCTATCTAAACATGTTACAGACGGTTTTGATATCCTATTTCCAATCTGAACATGTTACAGACAGTTTTGTTATCCTGTTTCTATCTAAACATGTTACAGACAGTCTTGATGTCGTATTTCCAATCTAAACATGTTACAGACAGTTTTGATATCCTGTTTCTATCTAAACATGTTACAGACAGTACTTGCAGTTCTGAACTTGAAAGCTTGAACAATATGTTTCCTTGCATGGCAATGACTATGAAGCTGAACTAGACAGCAGTAAAAATATTTGTTTCCCAAAACAGAAATAAATACAAATCTGGCCTAACTACAAATGTATGTAATTCTAATATTACGGAAATTGGATAATTCTGAAAAATACTTTTGGACAAATATCTTCGAAAAACTTTATTTTTTTAAATGACTGCAAATAGGACTGACACACAAGTATAAACCATTCAATGCACTTAAGTAAAAGATTGGCTTAAAATAAAACATAACTTATAATTTAACAAGTGAATAGTGATTTCTTCAGTCATTAATAGATATTCATGCAATATATTCTGGTCAAAATGATACATACACACTAACAGATTGACTAAGTACATTTAACACACAATTATGTAAAATCAGATAAGTCCATTACATAAATTAGATAAAATAATTAAGGTAAATTAGATAAAAGTTTATCATATTAAGCAAGTATTACAATAATATTAAATGATTATGTAATTAAATGATTATGTAATTTGTGGTAAGTGCATAGAAATATTTAAGTGATAACAGAAGCAAGGCGGCTTAACTAGTCTATATTTTTGTTGGCAACATTTAGAATTATCAAAACCAACAAGCATCTGTTAGCAATCAACATTCCTTGACAGAGAGTCGGAGGAAAGCAAAAAAATAACTTTTACATGCAGATAATTACAAACAAGCGGACACACTCTGAAGGGCAAACAGTACCGAGTATACAACAGAACATGGAAGCTTTGTAAGCAGGATTCTTGTTAAAATCTAATTTCATCACTTAACTAACGTGTTTGATTCTGTAGATACACCCATAATTTTTCATATCACTTTGAATAATACTAATCTGTGAAGTCAGAATTTCAGGTAAGACAACAGGCATTGTCATTAGGATGATAAATTTCAAGCAATTTTTTCATGTATTCCAGAAAATAATTTAGAAAATTACTCGGCTGTAATTAACATTATGGTGCCGTGTTCAAAATCCCAGTACTCAAAATTCTGCTGTGCACCAATCACTGATGAAATCTATTTTTAATTCAAATCAAATTATCCAAAAATACACAGTGAAGTAGGAAGGGCATTTCACATTACAGTACCAGTAATTGTCAGCTAATTTTTGACAAAATAACATTAATGTTTAAATTCCAATTTAAATGTTTTGAAATAACATCCATAATGAAAATCAGTGTTCGATTTATAAAGATCTACACAAAAACCAAAGTGAACTGTGTGTCAAGGATAAGGACATTCTGTAAATGTGTATTGTCGGGCGTAAACTCACAAAAGATTTGCCATGTTCTCGTTAAACACTAGAACACTGACAGGTCAGCAAGGGCCCTTCCATGTACTTGATGTATCCTTCCACCCAATGGTCTAGTTTTAATTAGTGACCCTGACTTTTGATGTATCCTTCCACCCAATGGTCTAGTTTTAATTAGTGACCCTGACTTTAACATTATAAACTTTTTAAACCCCTAATGCACATCTGAATATTAATTACAGTGTATCAACATGTCATTAATATTTTGGATTCCAAGATAAGGACCGTGTAACACAACACACATCCTACCCCCATCCCTGGTTCTATTTTTAGTAACCTTGATTTCGAGTAATCTTGTCCTCGACTTTAGAACATTTTTAAAGCCCTAATGCATATCTACATATCAAAGTGTATCAAATTTCAGAATGATTAGTCTTTTGGATTCTGAGATGAAAGTGAGGCTGGACAGACGGACACCATGATTACTTATGAGTACTGTCTCTCTGAAGCAGGGCCGTAATTTATATCTCAGCAATTGGTACTCATCCAAATCAAAGATGCCATAAATAGTATCAAGTCTATTTTTATGATTAAATGTTTTTTGAATTTTTAATTGAGAAGGTGCTTTCAATATTGACAGTAATGATCTTTAAAATTGATATTCATGGAAGATTTAATGCATAAACGAATCTCTCAAAAATCAAGCGATTTTCAGTAATTTTCCCCATATGATACAATACAACCACCTGTAAATCACATTTCAATGCATACAGAATCATGCTAACATCTAATCCTTGTAACATTCAACATCGAAATTCGGTAAAATACAGATGAATCCCATCAGCATGCTACTCAAGGCACCCTATCTTGGATGGAGACTTCCTATTCTTTACCTTCATTACTGACTTTTGAAATCAAAACTCTCTACATTCTGTTTTTCTTTCTTTTTAAATTGAAATATTTTCTTGCTCAAAGCAGTTCCAGCTATGGCATTTGACGCTATTGTTTTGTGAGATAAGGATCATTCTGTTCTGGATTAATGTAGAAACTTTTCACTAATGATGACAAAGATCCTGCTTGTATGAAAACCACTACATTTAGGAAAACTTCAATCAATACTTCACATGTCACAACTGTGTTATCTGAGAGATGAGGAAATCTTAAGAACTACTTTTACATGTCAATTAGTTCTGATCATAACCAGATGTAAGGAAGCCTTAAACAGTACAATACACTGTGTACAATCTCAGGACTGGGGATATCACAAAAGAGCCCAGATCAATTAGTACTGATCATAACCAGATATAAGGAAGCCTTAAACAGTACAATACACGGTGTACAATCTCAGGACTGGGGATATCACAAAAGAGCCCAGATCAATTAGTACTGATCATAACCAGATATAAAGAAGCCTTAAACAGTACAATACACGGCGTACAATCTCTGGACCGGGAATATCACAAAAGAGCCCAGATCAATTAGTACTGATCATAACCAGATGTAAGGAAGCCTTAAACAGTACAATAGACGGTGTACAATCTCAGGACTGGGGATATCAAAAAAGAGCCCAGATCAATTAGTACTGATTATAACCAGATGTAAGGAAGCCTTAAACAGTACAATACCCGGCATACAATCTCAGGACTGGGGATATCATAAAGAGCCCAGATCAATTAGTACTGATTATAACCAGATGTAAGGAAGCCTTAAACAGTACAATACATGGTGTACAATCTCAGGACTGGGGATATCACAAAGAGCCCAGATCAATTAGTACTGATCATCACCAGATATAAGGAAGCCTTAAACAGTACAATACCCGGCATACAATCTCAGGACTGGGGATATCAAAAAAGAGCCCAGATCAATTAGTACTGATCATCACCAGATATAAGGAAGCCTTAAACAGTACGATCCACGGCGTACAATCTCAGGACTGGGGATATCAAAAAAGAGCCCAGATCAATTAAACAAGCAATGCTAGTGGTAACAAATGATAGTGTCTCTTATTCAGAATAATGGTAGTCAGATTGCAAAAGCCATGGCATACCCCAAATGAAGCCTTAAACAGTACAATACACGGCGTACAATCTCAGGACTGGGGATATCACAAAAGAGCCCAGAACAATTAGTACTGATCATAACCAGATATAAAGAAGCCTTAAACAGTACAATACACGGCATACAATCTCAGGATTGGGGATATCACAAAAGAGCCCAGACCAATTAAACAAGCAATGCTAGTGGTAACAAATGATAGTGTCTCTTATTCAGAATAATGGTAGTCAGATTGCAAAAGCCATGGCATACCCCAAATGAAGCCTTAAACAGTACAATACACGGCATACAATCTCAGGACTGGGGATATCAAAAAAGAGCCCAGATCAATTAGTACTGATTATAACCAGATGTAAGGAAGCCTTAAACAGTACAATAGACGGTGTACAATCTCAGGACTGGGGATATCATAAAGAGCCCAGATCAATTAGTACTGATCATAACCAGATGTAAGGAAGCCTTAAACAGTACAATACACGGCGTACAATCTCAGGACTGGGGATATCACACAAGAGCCCAGATCAATTAGTACTGATTATAACCAGATGTAAGGAAGCCTTAAACAGTACAATACCCGGCATACAATCTCAGGACTGGGGATATCATAAAGAGCCCAGATCAATTAGTACTGATTATAACCAGATGTAAGGAAGCCTTAAACAGTACAATACATGGTGTACAATCTCAGGACTGGGGATATCACACAAGAGCCCAGATCAATTAGTACTGATCATACCCAGAGGTAAGGAAGCCTTAAACAGTACAATACATGGTGTACAATCTCAGGACGGGGGATATCACAAAAGAGCCCAGATAACTTATTACTGAACATAACCAGATATAAGGAAGCCTTAAACAGTACAATACCCGGCATACAATCTCAGGACTGGGGATATCACAAAAGAGCCCAGATCAATTAAACAAGCAATGCTAGTGGTAACAAATGTTAGTGTCTCTTATTCAGAATAATGGTAGTCAGATTGCAAAAGCCATGGCATACCCCAAATCAGTAGTGCTTACAGGTATGACAGCACATTTACACAAATATTTTATGGAACAAGGTGCAAATTACCACGAATATGGTAAAGTATGGGTAGACTAAATTCAAAGACAATTTCCTGTTATATGTGGAGGTATAGGTACGGGTATGTTGTAATAAGACTTTGTAAATATGATAGACACTGAAAATCAAAATTAACATTAAATCTGGATCTTAAATTACCATATTTATACAAATAAACGACACAATAAGGAGAGAGATTACAGGCACAGATCAGACACATTTATACACATGCAGTGTCACACAGAAACACCACAGGGAAAACGGACATGATACCAAATGTTTAATCTGGTAAATATATGTTGTATTTAACGAGGGACTTATTATCAGTAAAACTATTTATGAAACTAATATACTGATAGTGACTATAATGGGTTATACTGGTTGTGACTATAATGGGCTATACCAGTCATGACTATTATGGGTTATACTGGTTGTGACTATAACAGGCTATACTAGTCATGACTATTATGGGTTATACTGGTTGTGACTATAACAGGCTATACTAGTCATGACTATTATGGGTTATACTGGTTGTGACTCTAAAGGGCTATACTAATAATGACTATTATGGGCTATACTAGTCATTACTATTATGGGTTCTACTGGTTGTGACTATGGTGGGCTATACCAGTCATGACTAGTACGGGTTATACTGGTTGTGACTATGATGGGCTATACCAGTCATGACTAGTACGGGTTATACTGGTTGTGACTATAACAGGCTATACTAGTCATGACTATAATGGGTTATACTGGTTGTGACTATAAAGGGCTATACTAATAATGACTATTATGGGCTATACTAGTTGAGACTATCATGGGCTATACTCCTAGTGAATATTATGCTCTGTATACTAGCTATATAGGTCACAACTATTTTGATGTACCTGAGACTGCGTGATCGTGGCCGCATAAGCGGTGACACGGGTGAGTGGCCGCCATCCTCGTCAACTGTATGATCAACAGCTGTGAGGTTCCGTGCAAAAAGTGTGAGCTCGTCACCTCCCAAAGGGTAGGCCATCTGATTCAGCTTCTCCTGGGAGGAATACTGTGACTGCAAGAAATAGGTTTCATTGTAGGCTCTTTCTTTTTAAATTCCTCGAGGCACCTTATAGTTTCACACTGTTGTTGATAAACACAATATTATCATCACTTATTATATTTAATTATCACTTGACAACAATGTGTGACCAAAACCCTAAACAGGAGGAAGCAATGGTTTTAGTACATAACATTATCAAAATGGCAATTATTGCTAATAGACCTAATAGTGGCCAATTAGTTATGGACTTTTGACTGCATCTCAAGTGGCAAAAACTTGTCCATCTGCTATCGCATATTTATACACATATTAATTCAAGGAACGGCAGTTATCCCCTCATTCAGACTATGCAGGTATTTACTCAATATGCACAGGAGATTCTGCCAGGTGATGCACTAATGACATGTTGAACTACAGTTGTACAACATACTTACCGAAACATTAGAACTGCCTGGAGTGTTGGTCCCGTAGCCGGAGGATGGCAGAGAAGCAAATGACCAGCGTCTTCCATCACATCTATAACAAACATTTAACAGTTAGAAACTTACTCGATATCTTTTCAAAATTTTTGTAAAACATTTAATGTATTATCAAACTTTTTATAAAACATTAAATATGTATGTGTACTATCTTTTTTAAAACACCTGTTCTTTTGTTACATGAAACTGACATGTACGTAACTTCAGACCAAATTTGGGAACTAAAACACAAGACATTTTAACATCTCTTAAACGGTTCTTAAGATATTGCTGTTTGAAATTTGAAATACTTATTTTAAAGCTTTTAACCCATGTTGAACTTTGACTCCAGCTAGCACTTACAGTTGACCTTTGACCTCATTACTGTAATAAAGAAAACGATTCACACAGCTGGTCTACATAACATACCCAATTATCATGAATCTAGACCAAATGGTTCTAAGATATTGTTGTTGGAAGGTTTTAACATATTTGACCTCCGATACATTGAAAGTAGGTCAAGGTCATTTTAATGAAGAGCATTCCTTCTGAGGTACCCATTGGCCAAATATCATGACACTGGGCCTTATGGAACTTCGGAAGTTTGTTAAAGCTTTTAACCCATGTTGACCTTTGACGCCACAAGATTTGCACTGCTGGTCTTTATAACAAACCCAAGTATCATAACTAGTCCAAATGGTTCTTAGGATATTGTTGTTTGAAGTTTTTAACATATTTGACCCCTGTGACCTTGAAAGTAGGTAAAGCTCATTTTCATTCGCACACTTTGTCAAGCTTCTTCATAGGAAGCTACCAGCCAAATTTGGAGATTCTATACCTTTCAGTTCCTCAGAAGAAGTCGTTTGAAGCGTTTGACATATTTGACTCCTGTGACCTTGAAAGAAGGTCAAGATCATTTTCATTCGCAAACTTTGTCAGGCTCTTTCCCAGGAAACTACCAGACAAATTTGATGATTCTGTACCTTTCAGTTCTTCTTCATAAGTCGTTTGAAGTGTTTGACATATATGACTCCTGTGACCTTGATAGGTCAAGGTCATTTTCATTCGCAAACTTCGTCGGGCTCTTTCCCAGGAAGCAACCAGCCAAATTTGAAGATTCTATACCTTTCAGTTCTTCAGAAGAAGTCAAGAAGTCGTTTGAAGGAAAAGTTGACTGACGCCGGACGCCATAACATAAGCTCACTAGCCCTTCGGGCAGGTTAGCTAAAAACATTTGTAATATTCACTGGAAAAGTTTTTGATACCAACCATACTTTGGAGATCCTGTGTTTCTGACATCCACTCTATTATGGAGATTTACCATATTCTCTACCACACTTTTGGGATCCATAATAAAACCCTGCCATACTTCCGATATCTGCCATACTTCTGAGGCCCACCATACTTTTGATATATGCCATACTTCTGAGCCCCGCCATACTTCTGATAATTTATGCCATACTTTGGAGGCCCACCATTCTTCTGATATATGCCATACTTCTGAGGACCACCATATTTCTGATATATGCCTTACTATATGCTATACTTTTGAGGCCCATCATACTTCTGATATATGCCATACTTCTAAGGCCCACCATAATTCTGATATATGCCATACTTCTGAGGACCACCGTACTTCTGAGGCCGACCATTCTCCTGAGACTCACCATACTTCTGATATCAACCATACTTATCTAAGATTTTATCAAGATGCTATCAATCATCTAGGGCTGATACTACAGAGATAACATCCTCTATACTTACTTTCGTACATCGTGGAAGGCAAAGTTTCCGTGCTTGTTAGGGGACGTGTTACTTTCTCAATACTTACTTTCGTTCATCGTGGAAGGCAAAGTTTCCGTGCTGGTGAGGGGACGGGTTACTTTCTCAATACTTACTTTCGTACATAGTGGAAGGCAAAGTTTCCGTGCTGGTTAGCGGACGGGTTACTTTCTCAATACTTACTTTCGTACATAGTGGAAGGCAAAGTTTCCGTGCTGGTTAGCGGACGGGTTACTTTCTCAATACTTACTTTCGTACATAGTGGAAGGCAAAGTTTCCGTGCTGGTTAGCGGACGGGTTACTTTCTCAATACTTACTTTCGTACATCGTGGAAGTCAAAGTTTCCGTGCTGGTTAGGGGACGTGGGACTTTCTCAATACTTACTTTCGTACATTGTGGAAGGCAAAGATTTCGTGCTGGTTAGGGGACGTGTTACTTTCTCAACACTTACTTTCGTACATTGTGGAAGGCAAAGATTTCGTGCTGGTTAGGGGACGTGTTACTTTCTCAACACTTACTTTCGTACATTGTGGAAGGCAAAGTTTCTGTGCTGGTTAGGGGACATGTTACTTTCTCAATACTTACTTTCGTACTTCGTGGAAGTCAAAGTTTCCGTGCTGGTTAGGGGACGTGGGACTTTCTCAATACTTACTTTCGTACATTGTGGAAGGGAAAGTTTCCGTGCTGGTTAGGGGTCGTGTTACTTTCTCAATACTTACTTTCGTCAATCGTGGAAGGCAAAGTTTCCGTGCTGGTTATGGGACGTGTTACTTCCTCAATACTTACTTTCGTACATCGTGGAAGTCAAAGTTTCCGTGCTGGTTAGGGGACGTGGGACTTTCTCAATACTTACTTTCGTACATTGTGGAAGGTAAAGATTACGTGCTGGTTAGGGGACGTGTTACATTCTCAATACTTACTTTCGTACATTGTGGAAGGAAAAGTTTCCGTGCTGGTTAGGGGACGTGTTCCTTCCTCAATACTTACTTTCGTACATCGTGGAAGTCAAAGTTTCCGTGCTGGTTAGGGGACGTGTTACTTCCTCAATACTTACATTCGTGCATCGTCGAAGGCAAAGTTTCCGTGCTGGTTAGGGGACGTGGGACTTTCTCAATACTTACTTTCGTACATTGTGGAAGGTAAAGATTACGTGCTGGTTAGGGGACGTGTTACATTCTCAATACTTACTTTCGTACATTGTGGAAGGGAAAGTTTCCGTGCTGGTTAGGGGACGTGGGACTTTCTCAATACTTACTTTCGTACATTGTGGAAGGTAAAGTTTCCGTGCTGGTTAGGGGACGTGTTAGTTTCTCAATACTTGCTTTCGTACATCGTGGAAGGCAAAGTTTCTGTGCTGGTTAGGGGACGTGTTACTTTCTCAATTCTTACTTTCGTACATTGTGGAAGGCAAAGTTTCCGTGCTGGTTAGGGGACATGTTACGTGGACTTTCATGGGGACTGTTACCTGAAGAAAGGAAAACACACAAATTCAAATAACAGTTTCCAGGTAATAAAGAATTTCAAGTAATTACAAGTAATTTGGAGTTGGCTATTTCATTACTTTGGAACATTGGTTTGCTATGAAAATATTGTATATAGCTTTACTGAATGTATTAATGGTGTAATTCCCATGAAGGCTGTTTCATTAAATTAGAAAAAACTTTATGAGATCTCCTGTTATATGACCTGTAGTGGCTAAATCTATCCCTCAATGTACCGTCTCCCAATGACATAGATAAAAGTGCTTGATTCAAGATTTTTTTATTTCAACTCACAGATTCTCATCATGCAGCTAATTTTCATCTAGACTGTTGTGCAATAATTCATCACTAGCAATATATTCAAGTTTCAATTGAAGTATTTCTTCCATGTTTATGGCAAGTTCTCGTCCACAAAGTCAATGTGGTATAATAGTGTTGTGATGTTAGAATTGTGATAGCTTGATAATACTGCACTTAAAATGGCTGGAATTTATAACAAAAAATGTAGCGAAATTTACAGAGTGTGACTTAATGGTAACTTAAACATATCGCAGGTGTGAAAATTGGTCCCAAGAACCTTTTCTTTTTTAAAGAAGTATATTCATTATTAGACTTAGTATACAGTAGAGCCATGCTAACTTGGTGTTAAACGGTCTGATGTTGTACCATCGACTATTAGCTGATCTCAGGTCAGTCTGGAAAGGTATCAACAATATTTCCTCAAAAGTAGCAATATCTTGACCATCACATCCTTAAAGGATGCATTAGCTAATGTAGCCCTTTGGGTCCAAGGATGTGAGCTCTTTTAATGTAGCCCTTTGGGTCCAAGGATGTGAGCTCTTTTAATGTAGCCCTTTGGGTCCTGGGATGTGAGCTCTTTTAATGTAGCCCTTTGGGTCCTGGGATGTGACCTCTTTTAATGTAGCTCTTAGGGTCCAAGGATGTGAGCTCTTTTAATGTGGCCCTTTGGGTCCTGGGATGTGAGCTCTTTTAATGTAGCCCGTTGGGTCATAGGATGTGAGCTCTTTTAATGTAGCCCTTTGGGTCCTGGGATGTGGGCTCTTTTAATGTAGCCCTTTGGGACCTGGGATGTGAGCTCTTTTAAATGGAACCTTTGGGTCCTGGGATATAAGCTCTTTTAAGGTGGCCCTTTGGGTCCTGGGATGGGAGCTCTTTTAATGTCGCCCTTTGGGTCCAAGGATGTGAGCTCTTTTAATGGGACCCTTTGGGTCCTGGTATGTGAGCTCTTTTAAATGGAACCTTTGGGTCCTGGGCTGTGAGCTCTTTTAAATGGAACCTTTGGGTCCTGGGATGGGAGCTCTTTTAATGTATCACATTGGGTCATAGGATGTGAGCTCTTTTAAATGGAACCTTTGGGTCCTGGGGTATGAGCTCTTTTAATGTCGCCCTTTGGGTCCAAGGATGTGAGCTCTTTCAATGTGGCCCTTTGGGACATGGGATGTGAGCTCTTTCAATGTGGCCCTTTGGGGCCTGGGATGTGAGCTCTTTTAAATGGAACCTTTGGGTCCTGGGGTATGAGCTCTTTTAATGGAGCTCTTAGGGTCCAAGGATGTGAGCTCTTTTAATGTGGCCCTTTGGGTCCTGGGGTATAAGCTCTTTTAATGGGACCCTTTGGGTCCTGGGATGTGAGCTCTTTTAATGTGTCCCTTTGGGTCCTGGGATGTGAGCTCTTTTAATGTGGCCCTTTGGGTCCTGGGATGTGAGCTCTTTTAATGTAGTCCTTTGGGTCCAAGGATGTGAGCTCTTTTAATGTGGCCCTTTGGGTCCTGGGATGTGAGCTCTTTTAATGGGGCCCTTTGGGTCCTGGTATGTGAACCCTTCTAGTGGAGCCCATTTTAATAGGTCCAGCAATAAAAATGATAAAATCCCTGTATCTAAAATTATTTTACCAAGACCTTCATATGACATGATCATTATAATTGTTTTTGTCATACTTATTGGTTTTATGAAATGATCACTATGACTACTTGTAAGCTAAAACAACAGGTTGGTTGCCAATTATTTTTCAACAGATGGGTCTATGCACCTGATTGTTTTGATGAACACCAATCTGTGACAGGTTCCTATCCACTAATGGTAAACTGCCGATCATTTAAAGGAATCGGTGACGGTAGTCTGACGACACTAATGGCCATCTCTCCAGGTATTGATAGTATGTGTGGCTTATTTGCACTTTACCCAGAAGCCATTAGGCTGCAGTGCAGTTAATGAGCACCCCCCTCCTCTCTGGCAGACCAGCAGCCATAACACTGCCATTGGAGACATCAACTGACAGTCTTGCTTCTGTAACTAATCCCTTGTTGCTCTAGGCAACCAAGCACAATTATTTAATTTCTTTAAAAGCACAATGCATTAGTTTACAGTAAGGAAATCAAGGTCTAATGCTTGTGTCTCAGGTAATTTGAACACCACAGCTTCCGACAACACCAGTCTCTGAATGTAGATTCAGGCATAACACATTTCTTTCTGTACAGATTGACCTTAAACTTTGACCTGCTGACCCCCTTCCTCTTACACAAAAGTCAATCAATTTAATGGGAGACAGGAAATGGAGAATCCATTTTTCTAGCAATATTTTCCTGAGGCTATATGTTACAACACATAAAAGCCTTGTCTTAAATGTCTGGTTAGTTTACAAACAAAATCGATAAGATTTTACAGTAAACTACACATAATAATTGCTTTGAGACTGTTAAGAGAAAATTTCAATGCTAAAAATCTTCTTTGATTTAAATGGTGAAATTATTGTTTTTGAAGTGATATGTAATTCCTGTCAAAGATATACACAATGCATTTCAAATCTTGATTTGTTTCACGATAAATCCAGATAAAATTTTAAATTTGTATATAAGCAAAAAAGCAAGAACACTTGCAGCACAGTTTTCAGTTCTATAGATTCATCAGGTTTTAATAGTACAAAATCGTTCAGTCAAATCAATCAATCAACCCCAACCCCACCATTTTTTCAGGCAAACCAAATCACAATATATTATAACAGTTTGTTGTGTTTATTTTCTGGTGGTGAAAATTCTTAATGCCATAATGTATATATATTGAAGCTTTAATTTTAACAGAGGCAAAGTATTGCAAGCGATACATAGTCAAAAATGTCTGGCCAAACTTTTGTATCAAAAATGCATAAACCATCATAACTCCTTAAAATGTGCAAAATAAGGCAATTTCACTACTTATCACTTCACAGTTTCAAGAAGTACTGGTACCAGCATATCATATTTGCAATTATAAGCACCAGTGTAATTCAGATATGTCCTGCACAAACTGGCACACTGTGAACCAAAGGCAGTTATTTTGTATACAAAGGGGAATGTAAGACCCATTTCAGTATGCAACACTCCAGCATCCAAAAAGGTATGTAAGTATGTATGTAAACTTTGACAATTGTATATGTAATATCAAAGAAATATTATTACATATAACAAATTTCCAAACTGATGAATCTTATTGAACAAATGAGATATGCCTGAGACACATGACTTAAGGAACAAAGGGCAATAACTCTATATATTGCGACGCAAGAAACCCTATTTCAGTATGCAACAATCCACCATCCTAAAAGGGACCCACATACAAAGCTTGACAACTGTATTTTATAACATATTATATGTGATATGCCTTGGTAAAGGTGATGCACTGACTTACTAAATGATCAACTGACTAATAGAATAACTAGTGGATATATAGTGAAAACCTTCAATTCCTTCCATTAATGCTGGTAGGGAACTTCTAAATAATAAAACTCGACTTAAATTTTGACATAATACATCATAAAGCTGACAAAACTACACACAAATGGATGGTGGCGTTTGAAGGCCACGATGCCTCTAATCACATTAAATATTTATAAACTCTGCTTACGATAACAGTAAGTATTTCTGTTGTTGGCTACGAAGTAAGTCTGATAACAATGTGTTTGTAGTTAGAAGTATTGGCAAGCACACTCCAATTGGAAATGAGGAGAATTGACGGACTTAATCCTACAGACACAATGTAATGACAACGCAATAATCGACAAAAGATTTGAAATATTCAACAACAAAAAAGTTAAAACATGCACTTTGCAAATTATTTGTTCACAGCTCCAGGGGAAAGTAATCAAGTTTAGCTTGGACCAACACGTTTCAGGACAAAATGATCATGCTTTATTTGAACCACGACTGCTTCAGCCAATAGCCTTGGTTTGAGTCACAAAGCTTCAAGAGTAAGTCCTCAAGCTTTGTCTTGCCTTAAGACATTTTTAAGAGGAAGGCTTCAAGCTTTGTTTGGACTGAGAAAGTTTCAAGAGGAAGTCATCAAGCTTTGATTTGACTGAGACAGTTTTAAGAGGAAGTCATCAAGCTTTGTTTTGATTGAGACAGTTTTAACAGGAAGTCATCAAGCTTTGTTTTGACTGAGACAGTTTTGAGAGGAAGTCCTCAAGCTTTGTCTTGACCGAGACAGCTTTAACAGGAAGTCATCAAGCTTTGCTTTGATCGAGACAGTTTTAACAGGAAATCATCAAGCTTTGTTTTGATTGAGACAGCATCAGGAGAACTAAGCTATCAAAGCCTGTTATAGTATGACACAGCTTCAGAAGCAAGTCATTAAGCTTAGTTATGGATATTTAATGCACTCAGAACACACAACCATTCTGCGCCATGAAAACAGGCAACCTGGAAAACAACTGAAATCCAATAACATGAAATCGTAAAATATTATTCTGAAACAGTCCAATCTACATTGTGTTGCCCCAAATGCGATTACTTGTGCTACACATATTGCAGAAAATCGAAAAACAAATGTATCCCAAATGTATCTGTCCATACATGTTAATCATCGGAATAACTCGAGAGATTATATGTTGTCTTCAATATTCTTTATTGATTTTAGAGATGGAGGAAAAAAAGACATTCAGATACAATTCAGCTTGAAAACATTTCTATTCCATTGCCGATATTCACCAATG